ATTTGATAGCTATAAAATAGTATTTTACTTGTTATATAAACCACATGTCATTATTTATTAAAATTCATTTGTAATATACTATTATTTCTAAAATATATCAATATTGAAATAATTTTTTGATTCATTGTATTATTAATATGAAAAGAGATAAGATTAATCACCAAATAACAAGATTTTGTTGAAAAAAAAAAATGTCATTTTGTATGTGGCTTGATGGAGTTAGACATATAGTTCTAAGGTCAGATCAACAAGCCTCATTAATATGCCAAGTACATAGAGAATTTGGATATTTTAGGATATGTAAGACGTATTCTATATTGCATAATTAATATTGGTCGAATAGTATGTATCAATAAGTAGCCACATAAGTTTTTTAAAGTTAAGTGATTAAGACTTGATGTTATAGTAGATTACAATGGATTATCATTTTAATAAATAAGTATCTTTGATATCTTATAATTTTTATCTGTTTTTTTAAAGATAGGAGCTAATTTTACACAATTCAATACATAAAAAGCTAGCTCCAATTATAGACCTAGATAATCTTAATATTTAAGTTCAATGTCTACATGATCAAGCATAGTTTTTTAACAAGCTATGTCTTTGGCTATATAAAACTTATTTATTGCTCAATATTGCAACATTTTATAATATATTTACATTCATAGTAGAGCTTATCAACTTCAATTGCAAAGATTTCCTAAAAGAGTTTATATATATTTGTAATATGAGGTACCTATAATACTTGATACTAAGATAGGACATACAATTATATATATAAAGAATGTAGTGCATAGTCATATTTTCTTATTAGAAGGCAAGGTTGGATAAAATTGTTGGGAGATTTCAAAGAATTGTCCTCCTTATGATCTTCTTATTGATAACTCTATACATCTTGAATTGGAAATTGTGCCAATTGGTCTTTCTTGTATTATATGTTGTGAGAAGAAAAGAGTTTCTACCATACTTATGTATAATCAATGCAAATATGGGTAGTATATGGCATGTTTGATACCACTCCTTTTGACTCTCCCTTAGGAGATTAAATTTGTCTTTATTGTAAGAAGTCTTCTAACCATACCTCACATCTAAATAAAAATTGAAGTTTTTTTCTATTATATTTGCCATACACTTCAATGCTCAAGCTGCTACAACATTAATTTGAAAGAGTATAGCTTTGCAATTACATCATTGTGGTGTTCATCCTCAATGATGTGTATTATCCTAGTTGATTGGAGGGATTATTAATCAAATAGGGAGAGGGGGGATATTTGAAAGTATATTAGATGTTCATTTATATTTGATTTAAATTACATACTTTATGATTGATTTATAGGATTCAATGTGTTGTATGTAATGATCTTTTTTTTTTACAACAACTATCATATGATATTGTATTAGATGCCAAATTCCATCAAATGTATGTAGTTTAATTTTATTAGTGATTTTTTATCCATTGATAGTTTTTTTGTTAATTGACTTTATTTATATCAAGTAGAGTTTGAATACTTATATAAAAAAAAATCTTTGACTTAACATTTTTATGAAATTAAGTCTTGTAAGTGATTTAAAAGTAAAAAAACTTATTGTAAGGATTTGCTTGGCTATGGCGTTTTAGCCATTTTAGTAAAGATTTAGGATTTTTCTTATTTTCACACTTGAACTCTTAGATTCTTACTTGTAGTATGAAAGGTAGCTTGACTTAATTTCGTATAGATTTTTAATCTTTTCTTGAAAGTATATTAAATGTGCATTTTCATTTGATTTAAATTACATACTTTATGATTGATTTGTAGTATTCAATGAATTGTACATAATGATCTTTATTTGTACAACAATAATTTCAATCCCTCGCTTGATAACTCAATAAATATTAGCTTTTTATATTGAATTTTTTAGTTTTTGATTTTTATCTCTTCAATATTATAAATAGATAAAATTTAAAAATAAAGATAAAATGCATTCTTTATTGAATCTTATTTTTTTAAATAAAAAATCATTTAATTCTTAATCTTGGTTTTGATGGATATTGTTGCCAAAAAATATCAATGTTCTTTGCTGTATTTATAAAATTCTTAGTTGACTTCTATGTATATTTAATAATATTATTTTTACAAAATGTACAAAATATCCTAATATATTTTGGCATTGACTTGAATCTAATACTTTTTCAACCTCAAACTTTTGACGATTGTCCAATTTTATAAGAAGAGGTGGTATTTGTCTTCTTCTTGGTGTATCTTCTATCTTATAAGGTATTGATTTATTGAAGAGATCCAATTATATTAGTGAAAATTAAAAATAAATATTTCAATCAAATATATTAATACCATTTTTAATTGCACCAAGAAAATCAAAAGAAATGATTATGTCATAAAAGAATAGCTAATATATATATAAATAATAACAAAGAATAAACAAAAACCATGTGAGAATTGAGAGAACATATTTATGCAAATAAAATTCTTGTGATTGATTAAATACTTAACACAACAATCAAAAAAATTCAAATAATACTTGATTATTTAAATTATCAATTTTTTTATTATCCATGATTTTTCTATACAAATATTTTTTGTAATAATTTCAAAAAAACTTTTTTAATATTATATAAATTTATGTCCTATCTACATCTATAAATATTTTCATTTTAATAATTTGAATTTTTATAATATTTTTATTATTATATTAATATTTTTAATTATTCAACAATCATGTTTATTATAATGTTTACTTTGAAAATAAGATATCAACTTTTTTAGTATAAAGTGAAATTTTAAATATCAAAGAAAAAAAATGATATATATTTTTTTGGAATATGTTATTTTATTAAGTATGTTAAAAAATCTTAGATATAAAATTAAAAATAACTTATTTTATTGAAATTTTTACATAAAATATTATTAAAAAATTCCTAATAATTAAAATTTTACATGATTAATCAAATACATTTTTTTTACAACCATATTTATATTCATATGTATGCTAGAATCTTTTGTAAGATATATTACTAAAATTTTATTACTGTTTACGTGGTTTTAATAATTATTCTAAGAATTAAATACCTTAATATTAAATCAAGTCTTATAATAATATTATTCATTATTATTTATGATCTATAATGATCTAAATAAATAAGAAAATTATAAATATTTTTTCTTAAAATATGTAATAATTAAAATCATTAGTAAATGATATAAAATTATTTTAATAAATAAAGAAATGATTAACAAAAAATATCAATAGAAAATACATGTACATGATATGCCATAAGTATCTCTAATAAAGTTGCTTTATCAATTAAATTTATTTTAAAAAAATTACTTAAATTCTTTGAAAAAAATTAATTCAAATTTTTTAATGTAGCTTTTAAATATATATATATCTAGTCTAATGGATATTGTTACATTATATAGAAAGATAAAAAGATAAAATTTAAAAATCCCATTTCTAAATCTACAGAGAGAGAGAGAGAGAGAGAGAGAGAGAGATATATATATATATATATATATATATAATATTACACAAAATCCTAAACCGAAGACCTCCTTAACCTGGTGAGAGTCAAGTGAGAGACGTTGATTTTCTACCCCCCAAGTATTTGTTGACAGAGTACGTCATCCAGATAACGAACAAGGTCATCCAACAGAATATAACTTCAGGAAGCTATCTTTCCCGACATTCAACCGAATTTACTCTCCACACTGTCATCCGCACCCATTCTCTTCGTTTCTTCTTCCTTTTCTTTTGGTTTGTTTGTTCTACTTTAAACCCAAATTTGCACAGAATATAAATATAAATATTCACACGTGAACTAGTTGTGCATTAGCCATCTTGATAAAATCTTCTAGACAACAGAAACAGCGGATGTGCGACTGCACTCAAAGAAGGTGCATGGGTTTCTGCTTACCATCGAAGCCATTCGACGTCGAATGGCTCCCAATTCTGGCCATCTTCAGTGTGCCCCTGCGTAACACAGTAAGAATGCTATGCACAGGCACAGCTACAATACGACTAGTTCTAAAAACTCAAACAATTTTGCGCAACTCTGTCAACATTGCAGAAAACTAATTACAACGTTGTCATGAATATCTCAGCACCTGTGAACAGATGATTGTGATCCAAGTTGGTGAAGATACACAAAGTTAATGCAACTTTGCTGTATTGAGCATCTTGTTGGATACAGAATTATTGATGAACCACAATCATGGTTTATGAGAAAACCTGAATAATGTACAATCTTAGTTTTTTGGAGATTATCAATATATGGTTTCTGTCCCTAGTCACCATGATATCTGGCATAAATACGATGCTCACCATTATGAATTTTTTAGGCGTGTGAATCTTTTTTCTCCTTTCCTCTTTATTTATCTTTTTATTCGCATTTCTCTGCAAGAACAGAACGTATGCAGCATTTGATAAAAATCCAATTTCAGTTTGAGGACTTCACATCTTACTTAGCTAGGATGCAATCCATTTATATCCGCATCGCTAAGAGCTTCGCTGGAAATTCTAACCAGCGAGCCACTAGTGCCTAAGCATACACATATAATTTGACCACTAAAACATCCGTAATTTCTTTTTAATAAATTTCATGCACAACTATACACAACAAAGCCATTGATCAACAAAGTACTTAAATATTCACCTGCAGACCTGAATCACAGATTTATGATACGCAATTGGATGCTGAAGCGGAAATATGCTTATTGGTTTGAAATCTGGTGTGCTTGGCATGGTTTGCCTCCTCCACCTAAAATCCACCACCACCTGCCAAGAAAATCACTTGTTCGAGTACGTCTTCGGACATGGTTCAAGTGTGATCAGTTGGGTGACCGGTGAAGGAGCCCAACTGGTGCCGATCCGATCGCCATCTTTCATCATTTCACATGCATACTTCATGGCTCCTGCTTTGATCTTCACTGTAACCCTGAATCTGTAACAACCTCGAACCTAGCTTGAAACCCTCATATATTTGGACTCAGAATTTCAATGCAAATGCACCCCGCATCCACAAGCACTTCCTCTTCACATAGAATTTGATGTCCAGCCGAAGATTGTCAAACGATCTGCATCATTAAGCGTTGCATGAACTGTGAGTACAGATTCATCAGAATTTAGGACATTTTAGATGAATGAATCTGTACTACCAGAATTTGTCTTCAAAGCATTTGAATCCCATTCTATATCAAATGAACACAATTGACCGGTACTTCATGATCATTTCAGTGGTTTAGAATACCCACTGATCCCACACATAAACACGTTCCAGAATGTTTGCCTGACATACAAATTATGCATTATGCAACAAGCTGTTCAAAGGCACATAGATGAATTTGAAGGTGTAATGCACACCATATGTTTTCTGATGGTCATGGCATTGTTTGGGAAATATTTACTGTGATTCAGAAGTGACGATAGTACTGTGTAAGGTCGTTTGCTGAAGCTGCAGCTATGAAGGTCGATCTGCCAACTAGTTCGGCTCTTCAGCTGGGATCAAAGATACAAAACAGGGGAGCAGTGCTGGGTGTAGTGTACAGATCCGGTTTCCTCGTGCTCCTCATGTTCGTGGGGTACAAAATGGCCGTTGCATGCAGCCGAAACGTGTTTCTGCAAGACTACATAGCAAGTCTGCAACCAGGCTTGGTGCAGGTCGTTGTTCCGTTGAACTCCTCCACCGACTCATCACTGGAATCAGCAGTAAGTTTTTTTGGACCATCTACCGTACACTCTTCGAAGAAAACCAAACCGAGATAAACTGCAACTTTAGATTTGTGTGAATTGATTGCAGAAAACCAGGACAGGAGAGCAGCCGACGAAGTTTGACACTTGGCCACTGCTCTTCCCAACCTTCCCAAACGAGAGTGTGAGCATACTGCAACAAATAACTGAAAATAATACTGAGCCGTGTTACAGGCAAAGAACTTATACTGCTCAAGTGTTTGGACTGCCGAAGCCAGTGGACGGTGAACCCATCCAACTCCAAACTGGAAAAATTCACGAGCTTCTGATAGTGTCCTATGAAGAAAGTGGCCGGAGAAGGTGCGCGGGAGGAGACTTTTTTGAGACTGATCTGTCAAGCGACAATTGGAAGGCGCGTCCTACAATCCTCGACAACCGTGATGGCTCCTATGCCGTAAAATTCATGGTGGATTCACGCTTTGCAGGCCTGTTCGTTTTCAAGGTGATGCTATTGTTTGCTAATTTTCATGCCTTGGACGCGTCCAACTGCACTGAGTGGTCACGCCTGGAGGACATCCTCACTGTGGAAATTGAGTTTGTTGCGCCAGATCCACAACAAGAAAGTTTGCCGGATTTGAGGAGGTGTACAGACGATGACTTCAGCTTGAAGGCATGGAGTGGTAGGTAAGATGAATAAGATCTACTGTGCTTGCGAGCTGTAGTTGGTGAATGACCCCCTACATGCTGAGGGGCTAATTGACATGCAAAACTGTAGGTGGAATCGTCATACTTGGAACCAGACGTGCGAGATTCGTGACGACGGGAGGTTCATCTGCATTGACCTCGACGAAGAATGTGAAGCTCCGTGGTGCGAAGGCAAGGTAGGGCTGTTGGAGAGCAATGGTTGGGTATACTCCGCCCACTGCAAGTTCAAGATCTTCACAAGAGATGAAGCCTGGGACTGCCTCAACGGACGCTGGCTGTTCTTTTGGGGGGATTCCAACCATGAGGACAGTGTTCGCAATCTGCTCAACTTGGTGCTAGGGTTTCCTCTCACGGACGTCAACCACATGCGACGGTGGTTCAATGGCACTTTCTATCATCCCAAGAAGGCAAATCACTCGCTCACAATCACGAAGATTTTCAATGGCCACGGTGAGGAGTTAGGCAACCTCCTGGGCCTCTCCAGCCTCCGGAACGAACGGTACCGAGACCTACTTGTCTCTTTCTTCAACGGAACGCACACGCCGGACACCATGGTAATGAACTCTGGCCTCCACGACGCGCATTTCTACCAGACGGCCAGTGAGTTCGCGGAAGAGGGCGTCGACTACGCCATCGACTTCTGGAACGGACTTTGGCGACATGCACGCCCCGCAATCGTGTACAGAACTACGGTAACAAGCGCTGGATATGCGAAGGGCGAATCTGGTCACGCCCGAGACGGCCTGCCAAATCCTCACAAGATGGAGATTTACAACCGCATCTTTGTGGAGAAAATGCAGGAGTTGAATTACGTTCCGAGCCTGAAAGTGGTGGACGCGTTCGATTTGACATTCCCCTGGCACTACGACTTGAATCACACAGATGGAGTCCATTATGGCCGAGAGCCTTCGAAAACCCCATGGCCATGGCGCCCTCACCATGAGTATCGAAAAGTCACTCAAGTGGGTCATCAATATTTCGTCGACCTCATGCTCGTCCACATTCTCCTCAATGCCATTTGTCCTGTCTAATCCCAGGACGCCAAGGAGCACTTCTCTGCTCTAAGCATCTGTGCTTCTGCAAAGGTGCACTGATTGTGAGACTTCACACAAAATGATTAATATACCCAGTTCGCAAACTCCCTTTCACTTAGTTCGCAAACTACAATTGCTCTCTTATGTCTGTAGAGCGTGTCCAGCATTGTCCGCCTCACCGGAACTTTTAGTTTGGCGGAACTGGAATGGATTCGATGCAATCTCATCAAGTACTAGCTCACTCACTGGTTACAGAACCGACTCACGAGATTTCTTACGCATTGTAGAATGTACACTAGGAACTTGAACTTGCATAAATCATCACCAAATATATGTTTTTTATGTTTTGTGCAAAACTGCTCCATCCTTTCAGAATCACTAATTCTGCAATTCCAGAAGTCTTGCAAATTTTGAGCTGTGGTACATATACCGCAACAGTTGAAGAACTTCCGTATTAAAAACTTGAGCAATTTGCTCATACTAGGAGTGGTCCTTGCTTGCTTCATCCAACTATGGTGGATGGGTGAATGAATGGATGAATGGATGAATGGATGGATGAATTACTCTGTTATGATGAAAATCCAGGCACGGAAGCCAAGTATTGTCTAGTATAGAGGCAAATGTGTGCACAAGAAAAATACTTGCTTTCTGTTCCTTCATATATAAGAAAGTATAGTATACCATATATGATTTCTTATTTTTCTACAATTAATATATGGTTTAATTTTATAAATGAGAATAAAAAAAAAAAAATGAATGAAATATCAATATTTAACCTCTTTAATTTGTATTAGAAAAAATGCATGAATCATTTTATGTATAAATATATGTATGAGAAGTTTTTGTTTTACATATACAATATTATCCCTACTAAGATATCTCCCAATAAGTTATAACCCCTAATAAAGTATAAAAAAATAGAAGAATTAATTTGGTTCTACGGTAGTTAAGTTATAATTCTCATAAGTAACTAATTACGGCCTTGATAGAAGAATATAACTTTGTGGAGGGAAAAAATAGTAGGGAATTTAATTTAGCCATGAATCAAGCATGCTTTGGTAGAAGTCTTTTGTGAGCAACTTTTGTTGAATGTCACAAAGAGTCTTGATGGTAGCGTATTTACTCACATCTCCAATGGAAAGGCTCTGCACTTTCTCTATGCATGTGAACAATATTGCCATTGAGTCTTCCTTGAGGGTGTTGTTAGCATTTTTGCCTCTTGTCATTGTTATACTATACAAAAGACCAAATAAGAAGTTGAAGAAAAAAATTTCAACAAGAAAGCTAGCAAGAACTTTATTGAATCATATGCATACAAAATCAATACCAAGAGAGGTGAACTAAAACTCCAAGACATGTATTATCAAGAGTGAGAATCCCCTCAACCTCGATTCTAGTATATATATTAGGTATTAGGAAACTTCTTAAAAAGTTTCCAATTTTTTTGAAGATAAAATAATCTTAAAAAGCTTCTTGAGAAGTTCTCATGTTGCTTAAAGATGAAACAATCCTAAGAAGCTTCTCAAACAACTTTTTAAATTTTTTTAGAACTTTTTAGAATCTATTAGAATATACTAAAAATCTTTTAAAACCTTCTAAAAATATTCTAAAAATCTTCTAGAACTTCCTATTAGTATATCTTAAGAATCTTTTAGAACCTTCTAAAGCTTGATAAAATATTTTAAGAACATTTTTAAAATCTTTTTATTGGATGTCTGAAATATCACTCCCCCTTTTAACTTCAAGTTCCATAAGGAGCTTTAATTCCATGTTTGCAATAGAATGACCAAAATTTAAGTATCATATTCAAGATTTTCTTGTTTGAATTGATTATAGTATGGATATTTTTTTCCTCGAGAAGATCTGCTACATCTCAATATAATCTTGCAAAGGTTATAAGAGTTGGAATGGTTGATCTAGTAGCAATGATAAAGAAAGCTCCAATTCTAGTTCTACTTTAAGATTCATGATCTAAAAACTCTCCAATTTCACATATTGGATCATAAATTGGATACATTAAATACTATAGTTGATGTAAAAAATACTTGTTTTCTTTGTTACATACAACATCCTAACAATAGCTTCATAGAAAAGTGATTCTAAAATAGGTATCGGTTTTTTAAGATAATATCGATAAAACTCTTGTATCTTTTGTGGTACATTAACTAGATATTTTGTTAGTTCCTACGTATGTTCATTGATATCATAGCCATACTAATGAATAAAATACTACAACTTATCTCTTCTTTGTTGAAAATCAAGGACCTTTACGACCTCATATTTCACATGATTATCTATTTCAATGTAAGGTGATGATGGTTGTATTTTTCTTAGAATACTTGATTAAAAATAAGCCACTAAGAAAGAAATATGAAAGATTAGATGTACCTTTATATATGTGTGTAGTTCCAATCAATAAGTCATTGGATTGATTTACTTTTGAATACAAAATGGTCTGAGTCTTCAATAGTCCAACATATTGTAATATTGATTGGTCTTCATATTTTGTCAAAAAAACCATATTTTATTTTCAACTTAAAAAGCAAAAGATTTTTGTTTAAATTTATTTAAAAATACTTTGTAAGAATCTTGAGCTACTTATAAATAGAAGTTCAAAGTTTGTTTACAGTTGTGATAATTATTATATAAGATCTTCGACTGCTCAATTTTAATCTTTTGATGTATGTAACAAAATAAGCTTTAGATGGTATCTATAATTGGCATAAAATGGTATTTATTGAGTCAAAGCATGAAGAGTATTATTATAAGCAAATTTTGCTATAGATAAATATGAAGTCCGATCATCTTATTGATAATTGATGGTACATCGTAAATATTACTTGAAACTTGATTGACTTGTTTTGTTTGAAGGTAGAAGGGAGAAGAAAGTTTGATATTCACCTTCAATATCTTGAAAAAGGATTTTCAAGACTTTGATATAAATTAAGGTCCTTAATAAAAAATGATGACATGAAGTAGGCCATGATATTGAAGACTACGGTTACTTTGGAATTGGTAGTGGCTGAAGAATTCTATAAGGGAAATATTAAGAATACTTGGATCTTGAACAAATGTCACATGAGAAGAAAAATTTCTTCACGAACTTCTACATTTGAGGCCACCAAAAATCTCAAGAGATAAACTATAATATTTTATTAAATCTAAAATATCCTACAGCTAAAAAATCATAACAAAATTGAAGAACATGAAGTTGCATTGGTCCTTTTGAAATATATAAATAATCTTCAAAATGCAAAAGATCTTCTATAAATTTGAATTTATTGTTGTCAAAATATTACTTAATATTATGAATTAATAAATCTTTAGCTGATGCTCAATAAATTTGTTTAAAAAAACTTAAATCAATAGGTATAACTGTAATTTTTATTTTATTTATTCTAAAAATTTCTTTCACAATTAACCTATATAGGGGATTCGAATGCAGGAAAAGACTAAGTACATGAGTTCTACTTGTTAGGATCACACAATTAATTGTATTCTGAATCACTGAAAATACCAAGGAATACTACAATGCTTTCCACTTCCTAATAGTACTCTACAATCACTGATAATAACAAAGTGCAACTCTCGCTTTGTCTTAAAAGACTACTCCAAATATATAAATTCCATCCAACACCAGAAATAACAGACTTCTACTCCAAACAATCTGTCTTCACACAATTTCTATAATCACAGACTTCTTCTGTCGAAACACTCACAACTCTCAATAAACAATAATCATAATCTTTCATCTATTAACAATCTCCCATAGAATCTGATAACAAACTCCAAATATCTTCTCAAAATAATCCAACCACATAGTACTCCAATTACATAATCAATAACTCATAAATCAATTTCTAATTTATTCTACTGATTCACTTCACAGTATTCAGAAACTATCCATTACTCTTCAACAACAAAGAAACAAAGAGGTAGCACCAAGCTTACCCCAACTCATGACTATCATAGTCTGGCCCTTAGACTAACTTCTACAATTCTTATATACTTATTTTCTATTCCTAGATTCTAGCCGTAATCCTATAATTAACCACTTTTAATAACTAAGTTAACCATTCGTCTTCTTGAATTGACTATTCTATGGACTATTAGTCTATTTTATCAATATCTTATAGAAACAAACTAATATCTATTCTACAATAACTATTAAAGTAGTACAAAGACAAAATTATTTTGGCTTTAAGATAGTAATATATTACCGATCCAATGTTGCTTTTCTAGCCTTTGAAGCAAGATATAATTTCCTTGATAAAACATTTGATAGTCTTTGCTACTTTTTTGGTCAATATATAATCAAAAATCAAAATAAGATAATGAAATATTCCAATAAACTTAGCAAAAATTTAAAATCCAAGCTAATATGAAATATTCCAAATTTTAGTGATTTATATATATAGTCATAAGTTCTATAGTATCTTTTAGTAAGTGATACTATTCTTAGAAAGAATTTATAATTATAAAAAGTTTTTTATTATGAATCTCTACAATTAATAACTTTTTGGAATAAAATGTAATTGAGTGGAACTTTCCATCATTTTCTATTTATGATAATACAACTTTTAATGCAAAGTCAAAAGTATCAATCTCCAAATAGAAGGCCTTTGTAAAATCTAAATATATTATGATTGGAACTATATTAAAAGTTATCTTTAAATTTAAAAAAATCTTTCATACTTGAGATCTTTATTCCAATTTGTCCTTGCATGACAATTGAGTGAAAAGAACAGCAACTTGGAAGTAATGCTTGATAAATATCTGATAGAAATTAACAAATTTAAGAAAATATTATATATTTTATACTATCTTTAGAGTCATCTACTTTATTAGAATTGGAATCTTTTTTAAATCCATCAACAATACTTTATTGGATATAATATATTCAAAAAACTCCACTTTTGCTAATAGAATATATTTTTTTTCAAATTTGGTATATAATCTTACATCTTGTAATTTTTGCAAGTCTTATCTCATATGTTCTATAGGAGTCTTGGAATAGATTAAGATATCATCAAAATAAGAGACAACAAATTTATCTAAGAATCTTGAAAAAAATTCATTCATCAAATGTTGGAGTATAATTGGGACATTTGTTAATCCAAAAAGTATGACATTATATTTGAAATGTCCATATCTCATCCAAAATGCTATCTTTTATTGATCTTCCTCTTCCATATGCACCAAATTGTACATTCTATGAAGATTTATTTTGGTGTAGATCTTGGGTTAATTAAGTTGCTCCAAAAGCCTTGATATCAATGGTGTTATATTACATGTATTCTTACTTAAGAAAACACTGGGTGCTTAACTATGGAAGGTAAGTAGAAATGCAAGAATA